AACCGCTCCTCCAGCTTCTCAAGAATGGCTGCAAGAGGAAAAGACGGAAGAAAGTAATGTGCATACGAAATAATCTTTGTGTATGCTCGAATTGTGCGGTTACGCTTTTACTAACCTGAATAAAAAGCAGCACTAAATGCATAGATGCACATCCCCCAGCAGCCCATGGTGACGCCTGAATTGTAGCGCTTGTACTCCTCTGAATCGTGGTGGGCCTTTGGGTCGCCACCAAACACAACCTCCCCCATAAAGTCTGTGTAGAAGAGCAGCATCCCCTCGAACGATAACCAACCTGTGTCAATCAACATTTGTGATGGAAGATGAAAGATCTGGACATAAAAACACTTTTAAAAATCATTTTATATTAGCCGAACCCCATGCTCATGATTTATAAAGTTGAGTTTTTTAAATGAATTATTTTGGCTAATTTAACTATGTTTTAGTTACCTATAAAAGTACAGATCAATTTAACACATATTTAAAATTGTTCCCTAAAATCACCTTAGTATTATTTATATATTACTATAGTATTTATTAATATTTTCATTTAGCTTTTATTTCATATTTTTGTTTTAGTAATTTTTATTATTGTTATTAAAAAATAAAATTGTAATTTATTTTTATTTCTGTTTTAGCAACTTTAGTACTTCAACTTACCTTACCCTAATTTACCCCTAACTTACCCTACTTTTATTTCCGTTAGTTGCCAATGAGACATTGCTTATGTTCTTTCATTTTCATGTTCATTCATTTTGTAAGCTTTTTTATATAATATTTACATTTTGTTTTATTTCAGCATTCTTTCAATTAACTTGAATTTATTTCAGAAAGTATTTAAATATTTTTAATGAACAATAGCAAACTGGCCTGGTGATACATTGTTAGCTAATGCAAGCATATTGTAGTTCAGAAATTTGATCAGCTGTAGGTCTCTAATTCTGTTATCAAAACATCTATTTGAAGCCTATGTGCAATGTCTGTACTTATTATTAAAACAACAAATATGAGCCTCAGACATTTTGTATATGCCTAATGAAATTCAAAACCTTTATTACCCAGGAAATGGTTGGTGCACAGGCTTCGTAAACATGGAGGCATCCTATAGATGGCGGTACAGAGCAGCTTTATTGACATTTGAGAGTCTGCTGCTTCATGGCTGCCACTGAGGTCACTGTCATAATGCATGCCATTCAGCAATATATTTGCCACCTTGGGAAAAGAGCAACATGCTAAAGTTCAATGGCAAGTTGTATCCATACAAATGCATGAGTATACACTTTTTAAAAAACAAATTAGAAATGTTGCTTGGCAGCTAAGTGAAATAAAATAAAATTATACAGAAATATAAAAAACTAATAAAAAGGGCAAAAGCACAATACAACAAAATTACTTGGACTGAAACTAAATTTAAAATAGAAACTGAAAATGTGAAAATAATAGCTAATTCAAAATATTAATAATACTATAATAATAAACAAATAATACTAAAATGAGGAAATTAAGGAAATT